GAAATAGAGAAAGCTTTGTTAAAGCTAGGCTGCAATGCTCCAGTCCCAGCTGTGTTCATCGCAGGGAAGCTAATTGGATCCACTAATGAAATCATGTCCCTCCACCTAAGAGGTTCACTCACTCCAATGCTGAAAGGCCAGCCTTTGTCTTGAAAAGAATCACAAAACACAGTTCCTGATACCTGCTGGAAGAATAAGCTGGCTTGAATCATTAGAGTAGTGAGCATAGTATTGATGATATTCTAGTGTTTTATGTCTCAAGTGGTTCCTAGCATTTGATTAACCATAAAGTAATCACATAAATATTCTTAATGAAGTTTGATTTATATACTTACAGTCCCAGCTATCTGATTAAGATTTTGACAGTCCCCACTCTCCACCACGCACTGTTTCCCATAAAAAAAAGGTAAATTTTGGGTTAATCAAGGCTAATAATCTCACCAGTTAACAAGGGGTATCAGTACAATAGTTTAGTAAAGAACATACCCTTAAAGTTTCTTCCTTAATGCATCTAAAAGGCTTGACCACCTTCCTCTCTCCTGTTTTTGTGCCTCTTTCTCCAATTTGTTTCAAACAACCACCAGTAATATTCAATAACCTTCAACTTCAAGTCATCTTAGTAAAATGAAAAGTATCTGCAGTCACTTGCTTTGAATATGTAGTGAGTGTTTCCTTCTGCATCTTGGGAAGAAAATATTCTCTGAAAGATATGTAAGCTGCATGCTAATTGACCAAACACTAACAGCCAAAGAACCCATTATGGTTTTGCCTGTCTCAGTCTGCCCAACCACTACATAGGTCAAACTCAATCTTCCTGTCATATTTTGCCCATCCTTCTCATGATACTTAACTTCATGTATTCTATAGTGAAGAAGAATAAATAATATAAACAGCCATAATGCCATCCAATTACAAATTATCAAATATAGTAACTTTGTTACCTTATATGATGTCTACTTTAGTCAAAATAAAATTGATTTCTGATCTGTTAAACATAAAAAACTTTTACCATCAGAGTGTTATAACTGTTACACTCAAGTAAAGAAACATTTGAAACTTTGAAAGTTGTTTTTGAGGGGGGGAATAGAATATTGAAGCAACATGTAGAAAAAGGAAAAATATTGTGCTGGCATTAACTTTTCCATCTCTTGGCGTTGTCCACAAAATTAAAAGTTAACAGGGAAATTCTCGTCTTTTTCTGATATAGTGCTATGGATTCTTCAACTTTATCCCACAATAAAGAAAGGTATTACATTCCTCACCTTTTATTTATCCTGTGTTTATTTTTATTCCCTTCTTTTCCCCCCACAATCATCACTCAATATTGAATTATGGGAAACCATACTCTATGCTTGATCCTGCATAGTTACCAAAACTTGAACCAAAGTCACAGCAAGAGGTAGTGCTGTGAAGTTAATCCTGCATTTATGCAAAAAATAAGTCCTTCCGTAGGCATAAAAACGTAGCTTAGTATCTTGTTGAGGAAACTCAAGCTTATCAGTTCCAAATATATTATCAAAGATATCTAGTTCCTGAGTTGAATTGAAGAAGTAACACAAGTATAAATATAACACAAAAGCTTTAATTATCACAACATTCAGAATATTAAACTGAATACAAATTATACCAGACTAAAAGTAAATAAAATTTCTGCTTTTAAGAAATAGGAATCAAATCAACTTTCCTAACCATGTCTTGTAATATTGAATTTCCCAACTACACGTGAATTAAGATTGACTGTCAGATTGTGATAGTTGTGCTATTGTATTTACTCGGTGATGGTCTTTCCAGGATGAACAATGGTACAAGTGAATATATGGTTTGAAATGTTCAAGGAAGATATACCAACATGAAGATCAGTGAGAATTCAAGTGTGAATATAAATTCTAAATAAATATGAGAAAATTCAACAACATAAACTCCTTGTTTTAAGGTTTTGAATATAAAGTTAACTGATTGAAATTTTTGGAGTTATGGAGGAAAACCTGGGAATGTTTTGTTCTGGTCCCATGCTGTGCCAGTTTCACGAGATCCCCATATCTACCATTCTTCACTAAATTATGACAGTTAAAAATCATTTTAGAAATTCAGTTGAATAAATCATGAACTTTGTCTTTGACATCAATTTGGTCTCTAGATCAGTCAGCTCCATGTTCAAAGGTTTTAAGTAAAAGATACATCAATTTCATTCTTCTATTCCTAATAAAAGCGTTCTTTCCATAAGCTCTACTACTTATAATGTGCCTTATATGTTGAAATTGGAATTTTTTCTAGATAAAGAAAATAAAATACATGCTAATAAATTTTAAGCATTATATTCTGATGGCATATTCCAATGCAATGATGACTGTAAAGTAGTTCCTTAAAGAGCTAAACCATACTACAAATGTATACACAGCCTCAACAAGGCATGAATCGAATGCGTAGACAACACAGTACATTTGGCAAGCCCACTACTTTCATAATAACAAAACAACAATCCACAACCATTTACTTTTATTGGACAATGATTGTGTTATTATAGAACATAAACAAAGATCTTCTCGCTTGGTTTAAGATAAGCATCATAAAGCCCAAACGGCGAAGATAAAGAATTCTTTTTTTCATTGATATTTCTATATCTATTACTAACCTGTTATAGCAGAAATCATGTGACAAAACCATATGTTTTCCTTTATCATGTCCTAATTTAAAATGTTACACGATTTAGAGGTACGAAGTTACCTCAACGATTGTTTCAACAACCTTAGTGAGCATCCTTTTTCATAGTATGCATTTTAATGAACAAAACATGGTAACTTCGGAAGAAATTTCTTTGTTGCGATCATTTTGATATTAAGTGGCTTGACTCAACATAAATCCAAAACTAAGTGAATGACTTATGGTTGGTATGTTGATGGCTTAGTCCGTCCATGGGTTTTTCAATAGTACAATTGTGTTTTTATGCTTAAATTATCAAGCAACAATATTAATAATAAACATAAAATAAAGAAAAAAAAAGCAGCATTAGGTGAATTCTAATACAAGAATCACAAAGGAGGAAGAAGTATTGGGATAGTAATATTGATTAACGTTAGATTAAATAAATTGCACAAATGTCAGTAACTTGACCTAGTGTAATCTTTCATTCATACATGGCTAATTTAGTAGAGTAATTTTGGTTGTACGAACATTGACTGAATACATTGTTATATTCAACTCATTAATTATCCACGATTGTCTTTGGAATATGCACAGTTAGTTCAATAACTATCACGTGTTTCTTTATTATTTTATGGTTTAATTACATTTTTTTCTAATTTGTTTGAAAAATTTTAAAAAAAATCTATAATTTTTAAAGTATAATTTTTAAATTTTAATATTTGAAATAATTTTAAAATTTGTATTTTTCCTTGCTTATTTATAAATTTAATGTGAAAAATATAATTACAAAGTTTAACTTAATATGTTATAAATACTGATATTGTTATTGAAAGTAAAAATATATAAAATAACATTAATTCAAATATTTAGGTAAAATGATTTGATGTTTAAATTTTAAAAATTATTGAAGATGTATATATAAGTTATAATTAATATTAATTACTACTTTTTTTAAAAATTAAAACTAAATTGAGTCAAAATTATAAATACAAGAACTAAAAATTTAAAATATAAAGACTATATTAAATACAAAACAATGACATATGACGTTGATATTAAGACGTGATACTATAAAAACAAATGACACTACTATTATTACTTAACACAATAATAACCTAACATTTTTTAAAACAAAAAAAATAAATAAATATTGAAAATACTACAAACGAACATGTGACATGCATGGACACTATATTAATGACAATTTAACATAAATAACCTAATTGATTACTTTTTAAAAACTATAAAACTTAATTGCACTAAAATTACATATCTTTTTGAATTTTTCAAACAATTTAGAGAACCAAAAAGTGTAATTAATCTTTATTTTAAACCATCATAATTGATTTTCTTTATAGGTATTGCGCCTTGATAATTTTATAAAACTAATTAAACTCAAGTTATGCAAAACAATACACTTCAATAGGTTGACGGGGCAAAACAAATGTGGAGCATAAGCAATGTATCTATAGATTTGGTCGTACAAAATAAAAATAGATCACCTTTCTTTCGTGATTTCTCCGATAATTATTTAGGAATTGTTAAATATTTTTTAAACACACGACATAAATATCTAATCCAAGAAAAAAGACTCAGAAAAACATATACTAAAGAAACAAAACCAAATGACAAATCTCTCTCCCTTTTAAATACACTATCACTTGTCACTCATCTTTCAATGATGGTTTCTTGATCTGGTATCGTCAATTCTTTAAACTCTCTTTTTCTTCTTCTTTTCTCCGAATTGTAATTTCAAGAAACCCAAACTACATCGAAATTGAGTTAGTTTCGTGTTCATATTCGATTTTTATATGTCCCTCACTTTAGGGTTTAATTTATGTTAATTATCATATAATGTCGCACTTGGCCCAAATTTTAGGAAATTAAACAATTATGTATGTATGAATCACTTGCTTATGAAATTTGACGTGAATCATGAGCGATCTATATGAATTTCATCTCTTTCTTTCTTTTGAATTTCATCTCTTTCTTTCTTTTTGACCTTAAAATTTCCTATATGGATACAGATGCATGCCTCGTATAGGTTGTTTGGAGAATTAATTGGATCGTATGACGTTTTCACTTGGTTTTATTGATACTCTGGCTCACGTGCAATTTTCGCAAACTTGCTATAAGAAGAAATTTTTCATCAAAGTTCACAGGTTGGTTTCAATTTCATTTTGTGTTTATGTTTTAGAATTTCAATATTTTGGTCACTAAAAGCTTATCATACTTGTCTTTCCTTCCAAGACTTCGATTTCTTTTCCTTACGATGTTAAATATAACGACAAATTTTCATGTGAATGAGAATTAAATTAAATTGTGTCCTTGTGAATGAATTGTAGGTAAAAAAAAAAAAAAAGCAAGAGTGACAGAGGTGAACACAGGTTATTGTGATGGCTGAAGGGGAAAATATTGAGCTTAAATTTCGCATATATGATGGAACTGATATAGCACACGATTTCTATTCATCATCAACAACCATTGCTACCCTCAAGCAAAAGCTAATTGCTGAGTGGCCTCAAGGTTTCTCATTTTATATACAAAACATATTTAACAATGATTTGATGACTTAGAATATTAACATAAAAATGGTTCAAATGTCTACAGGTAAAACAACTACACCAAAGGTAGTAAGTGACCTAAAACTCATACATGCCGGTAAAATTTTGGAAAACAACAAAACTCTGGCTGATTCCAGAATAACATTCGGTGACATCCCTGGAGGTTTTGTTACCATGCATGTTGTAGTACAACCTCGAACGACTAAAAAGAAAACAGGTTTGTTCAATATAGACATATAGATTCATAAGTATATGAGTTATTGATAAAGATAATGTTTGTTTTCTATTCATAAGTATGTGTTTTTCCTTGTGATTACCTTGCAGAAAAGAACCATGAGGAGAAACAAAAGACAAATTCATGTTCATGCACTATTGTTTAGTTTCCCACGAAGATAAAGTTAGAGTTCCTGTTTACAATTCTTGTGATGGCTTTGTCAAATCCTTGTTGTTTGCTTATTTTAATGTTCAGTTCATTTATGGTGGAATCAAATATTAGCATTGTAAAAGTGTAACCTCAACAACTACAATAAAAGTGTTGTATGAGTCCAAATTAAGGTGCCCAATACTATTCCATGAATATGCATATTACAAATTTTACATTATTAATACATTAATCATTTTCCGTATGTTTGGACTAAGTTGATGAAAACAAAAGGTATCTCTCTCCAAAAGCAACTTTATATATTTATATTATAGAATATTATGATTTGTGCTTCAATTTGATAGATAACTAAGTTGTATGGGGTGTTAAACATTAATGGTGGTTTATTTGAAGTGTCAAAATAATGGGACTATTGTTGATAAATGAATTGCTATTCCAAAATCACGATGAATATGGAAATCACACGCTAAATACGAAAACATATAACAAAGTAAAATACTTCAAATTCTATTTGTTTAGTTGTTGGTTTATAGTACCTATGGTTCAATTAAGCTGAGTTACCTCGTATAAAGCTAGAATTAAAAAAGCTATGTTATTGGATCTCTATAAATATATTAGGATAACTGTAATCTAAAAAGACTCACTGAAACATTGACTTGGAATTTCTTTAACTTTAAACCATAACATTTTTAATATCCAAAATATACTTTAAAATTTAAATTAAATATATACTAATATTTAGATTTAAATTTCAATAAAATATAATAATATTAATTAACGATAGCATGTATACACTGGATAAAAAATAAAAAAATTGATATAGCATGAAACCGTAAAAGTTAAAGATTTAAAATTAATCAATTAATATAAATAACTATATTTTACGTTAGTATAATAAATAAACTAATAAAATATTTTAAAATTATTTGAGATAATTATTTTTCATTCATTTTAAAATATTTGAAATAAAATGTGGTTCAAGTAGTTCTTTTACATTGATTTTTTAGTTTTGAACTAGTTTAACCTAATAGAAAGTGAACAACTTTTTTTATCTAATGGATCACTTGTAGGTGATTTTGTAATCTTTTTAAAACTCACTCGAATTTACTAAACATGAATAACTTTTTTATTGAGGCATTTTTAAAGTTACATTGACATAATTTCATTAAAGAAAGTCGTGTTAAAATGATACAATTTTCATACAAGTTTTTTTTTTAAATTGAAGTCGTGTAATTTTAGTAGATTTTAAATTGAAGTTATGAATTACATAACTTTAGGTAAAAATTGTATTAGGATACCAACTTTGGTTTAAAATGTTCTAAAGTAAAGTTGTTATATTAATACAGTTTCAACTAAAATTGATTTTACATATAAATATTTGTAGAGCTAATTAAATTAACTCTGTGAACAAAATTACAAATTATTGTTATTTTTTTTCATTGTCTAATCAATTTTATTATAAGTTAAGTTTAATACAATTTAAATAACTTAGCTTGTTAATATACAATAAAAACAAAATAACAAAGTGTTGGGAATCCTAAGTCAAAGTCTCACATTAGATAAAAATGAGAAAGTATAAAAATATATAAAGGTGAAACAGACATTAATTCATTGCCTTATAATTTTGATTAGAGTGATGTCAATCCCTTGAATGATTGGACATATCTTATTGGTGTTTGTGTCTCCCCAACCTCCTCATTGAATAAAAAGAACTTCACTAAAAGAAATAGCATTATATCTTATAAAATTACATGTATACATACAATTTTATTTCAGGTTTGAATACATAATATTTTAGAATGAAATCTAAAAATATTTTTTATTTTTCTTTTAATCTTTTATGTTGTTCTATTAAGAATATTACATTTAGCTTTATTGATTTATTGTTAAATGACACTTACTTATTTTGTTTTTAAAAGAGGCACTTGTCTCCCTTTAATAACATATATTGTTTCGCTCAAATTTTTAAATAAATATTTACTTTTTGTTTCGGTTGAATTTGTTCGAGGGTCGGTCGTCCTTCTTTGTTCTGCTCTTTTTTTATTGTCAAATGCTCTTCGAAAACGTAATTCACTCTGATGAATGGTTGACCTGCACAAGACACTCTGACACTCAAGTTAGATATGTTTCATAAAGAGGTCTATATTTTATTATAATAGATTAAGATGTCTTTACCTGGGCATTAACCCTATATTTATAGGGCTTATAACAATCAAACTCATTAATCCATATTTGATATGGCAATGAATCAAATAATACTTGCTAATATACCTCCTAACTATCCATTAATACCATATTTTGTGCAATATGACCTGTCAATCACTAATAAATAGCGTATATTCGCATTTAATATAGTCATTAAACGTATTAATTGGTCATTAATGATATTTACCTTTTCTGATTAATGTTTGTCTCACAGTCTGTCGATTGCCTATTTTGGCTCCGGATTCTCCTTAGTTGATCGGTCACCATGTATAGTACATTAAGCCCCTCAAGTCCGAGTTAATCGTGCGACTTTAGCCGATGTTAACTATAGGACTTATGAGTTTGAGGGAGGTTGTTGTATCTTATTTGGGCCGAACAGTTTCACGTATTGAATCTTTGTCATTTGTACTATATAGCTGACTGGCTGCATACTTGACACTTAGTCCTTTTTATCAGAGCTTCCTAGTTGACGATAGTGTAAATCGTTCGGTTGAGAGGGATTTTCCTCTCGATCTTTGACTTCAGCTTTGACGAGGGAGATTTACTTCTCGGCCAAGAGGGATTTACCTCTTGGTCTTTAATTTCAACGAGAATAGTTTACCTCTCGGCCGAGTGGGATTTACCACTCGGTCTTTGTCTTCAATCTTGACGAGAGTGATTTACCTCTCGGCCAAGAGGGATTTACCTCTTGGTCTTTAACTTCAACGATAGGAGTTTACCTTTCGGCCGAGTGGGATTTACCGCTCAGTCTTTGTCTTCAATCTTGACGAGAGGGATTTACCTCTCGGCCAAGAGAGATTTACCTCTTAGTTTTTAACTTCAACGATAGGAGTTTACCTCTTGGTCGAGTGGGATTTACCGCTCGGTCTTTGTCTTCAATCTTGACGAGAGAGATTTATCTCTTGGTCTTTAACTTCAACGAGAGGAGTTTACCTCTCGGCCGAGTGAGATTTACTGCTCGGTCTTTGTCTTCAATCTTGACAAGAGGGATTTACCTCTTGGTCTTTAACTTCAACGAGAGGAGTTTACCTTTCGGCCGAGTGGGATTTACCGCTCGGTCTTAGTCTTCAATCTTGACGAGAGGGATTTACCTCTTGGTCTTTAACTTCAACGAGAGGAGTTTACCTCTCGGCCGAGTGGTTTTTACCGCTCGGTCTTTGTCTTCAATCTTGACGAGAGGGATTTACCTCTCGGCCAAGAGGGATTTACCTCTTGGTCTTTAATTTCAACGAGAGAGTTTACCTCTCGGCCGAGTGGGATTTACCGCTCGGTCTTTGTCTTCAAACTCTTCCTGAGAGACTTCGTCGTGGAATATGAACTTTAACAAAGTTAGCAACCACTGACTGAGCATGAATTGCTAGGCTTAATTTATTCCATAATGAAAGTATAAGACAAGAACAAGAAGAATCTAAATCAAATGAAATTGAATTTAAACATGATATTAATAAAAGGCATGTCTTTTGTTTTGATAACTTTTAGGAATTTTTTTACTCTTGTTGCAAAACCTGGTGTCGATCCGAAGAAGCGATGTCGAGACCGAGTGCGCGTTTGGTTCTTCGTGGCTTCAGGGAGATGCCGCTCGGCCCCACGGTGGGTGCCAAAATGTTTCGGTTGAATTTGTTCAATGGTCGATCATCGTTCTTTGCTCTGCTCTTTTTTTATTGTCCAATGCTCTCCGAAAACGTAATCCACTCCGATGGGTGGTTAACCTGCACAAGACACTCCGACGATCAAGTCAGATATGTTTTATAAAGAGGTCTATATTTTATTATAATAAATTAAGATGTCTTTACGTGGGCATTAACCCTATATTTATAGGGCTTATAGCAATCAAGCTCGTTAATTCATATTTGATATGGCAATAAATCCAATAATACTTGCTAATATACCTGCTAACTGTCCATTAATACCATATTCTTGTGGAATATCCTGTCACTCACTCATAAATAGTGTATATTCGCATTTAATATAGGCATTAAATATATTAATTGGTCATTAATGATATTTACTTTTCCTGATTAGTGTTAGATTGTCTATTTTGGTTCCGGATTCTCGTTAGCCGATCGATCAGCAGGTACACTTTTCTTTTTTGTATTTTTCATAAACAATACTCAATTATCTTATATTTTTACATGCTTTTCCTAAACTAGACGATCTATCAAATAAATTAGCAAACATAGTAGTTTAACTCGTTTTTCGTAAAAAATTACCTGTCAAAGAAATTTATCTCATTACTTTCCTGGTACTTTATTAAGAAATACCCATAAAAATATATATTTTTTTAATTTTAACAAGTTTATTTTAAAAAATAAGCTTAGAACAGAAAATTAATCTTAAATTATAATATAAATAAAATTACATCAAAAGTTATTAGTCTTTTAAAAATAAGTTTACATAAAATTAATCTCCGGAATAACAAATTTAACACCACAAGGCTAAATAAAGAATATAAAATTATATTCTAAATGATTATTCAATTGCAAATATTTTTTATATTGTTTGAATAAATATATTCTTAAAAAATATTTAAAAAGGACTTACTGTAAAATAATTTTATAAATTACATATCAACTCACTAATAAATGGATGAGTGAAATACGTGCTTACTATTATATTTTTATTTTATACTCAACCTTTACCTATGTTATGTTGGCTCTGCTGTTCCACGAAAAAACTATCTGAACTTGATAACCCCACACCAATTTATGATAGATCTGAAATCTCTAGAAATTCCTAAACTTTTTGAAAAGTAATTTATTGTTTTTAAAATGAGTTTGTTCAGGTTAAAATTCTAAGAAGATGGGTTTTGAAAAAAGAAACCATGAAAAGAAAAACATTATGGTAGTTATATGTCACATCAAGAATCTTTTCCAAAATTTGATAATTTATATATATATATATATATATATATATATATATATATATATATTATGAATATAATTTTTAGAAGTGAAATCTAATACGAGAGCAGCTCTTTAACCTAATTAATTCGTTTCACTTTTTAAAAATTGTGAGAAAGTATACAAGGTAAGTAAACCTAAAATTAGATATATAATGGTTTTATTTTATGATTTTTAAGGTAAGTATTCATTAAAAATGTTCTATTTTATGATTTTTCGATCAACTTAGACTAGAGGGTTCATATAATTAGGAATGTACAATAAGTAATTTATAGCAGTCAGTCAAACAATATAAACCAAACAATCATCTTTAAATAATAATTAAGATAATAATTAAGATTAATAATAATTAATTTAAGTTAAAATATAATTATTATTAACTGGATCGTGTGCTAATTTAAAGTTTATTTTAAAATTTATAAATATAAATTTTATTTAAGAGATAGATTAATTATATTTATTGTTGAGTTGATCCGAATATTTAATAATTTAACATGAAAGTATTCTTTATAGATAACTTTTCAACCAAAAAAAAAGTGAAGACAAGCTCTAATGCTGACAAATAATTGAATCATAAAACTTAAAAAAACTTATAACTTCGATCGTATAACCAAAACAAATATTATGACTAATGATCATAATTTTTATGGAAAAATGATACTTGAACAACCATTTTTTACAACATTTAGACACGTGCACACGTGTCTAAATTTGAGTGGTCCAGTTGGAAAAATTAAATGAAAATGGACCACTCAAATTTAGATACGTGTGCGCGTGTCTAAATGTTGTCAGAAATGGTTGTTCAAGTGTCATTTTCCATTTTATTTTGCACAGATGTGAGGTTTCGCATCCCAGAATCTTTCGGAGAAATCGGTTTTTTTTTTTTACTACTTTGACTTGGTATGTTTTTTAACAACTGTTATTAGTCAAAATCCAACTTTCAATCACAAGATTATGTTAATAACAATTATTAACGGACAATAAAAAGAATCTGTGATGAACAAGAAAAAAGATCTTTTGGTTTGATTTTTATATAAACACTTTTTGTTAATCATGACCGTCCGTGCTAGAAGTATTGAGAAATTAATTCGTATGGGTCCCACTCTCTTTGGCAAAGTATCTCTATCAAATCAATTTTCAATTAATAAATTAACAATCAGCCTCTTTACATGGAAACTGGCAATTAATTATTCTAATAATCACTACAAATCAAACAAAAGTAATATAGTTCAACAATGAGTATGACTGAGTAACCTGCTTAATTAAATGATTATTATTTAATTTCGAGTTTAGTCACAATCACGGAATTTCATTCCATCCAATTTCAAAAGGACAATTTTTCTTAAAAAAAAAAAGTGAATTATCAAGTAGTTCTTGATCTCCAAGAAAACCAACAATGAATATCCATCCATCCATTCAACCATTCTACAAAGGTTTCTCTTTTCTCAAATCTTCCAACACCTAATCCCAAATTCTTCGCTAAACCCTCACTCACAAAACTCATCAGCATCGCAGCCATGACCGCTGAAGCGCCGAAGCCAGCGCGACCCTGTGACTACTGTGGTCACTCCATGGCGGTTCTCTATTGCAGAGCCGATTCAGCCAAGCTCTGTTTCTCGTGCGACCGCGAGGTTCACTCTACCAACCAGCTCTTCTCGAAGCACACGCGGACGCTGCTCTGCGACGCATGCGATGATTCCCCTGCTACCATACTCTGTTCCACCGACACCTCTGTTTTCTGCCAGAACTGCGACTGGGAGAAGCACAACCCGTCGCTCTCCGATTCCCTTCACCAACGGAGGCCCCTCGAAGGCTTCACCGGTTGCCCTTCGGTCTCCGAACTTTTATCCGTTGTGGGGTTTGGAGATCTCAGCAAAAAATCGCTGCTTTCTTCGCCTCAGGGAAGTGCCGCTGATGGGTTCCTCGGGTGTGAAATTGAAGGGTTTTCGGATTTGTTTGTTTGGGATGCGCCTTCTGTTGTTACGCTTGATGATTTGATTTCTTCTTCCGCTTCTTCTCATAGCTTTCAGGCCATGGAAGTTCCTCCCCTGCCTAAGGTACTTACATGTATTAATTATGGAGGCATAATTGCTGTAAAAAGAGCGACTTTTTCTTAGAGTTTCGATCTCGTCAAGTTCACAGGACTGAAGATCTGCTGCTAGTTTGATAATTGCCTAATAATGGAAAACTCAATAATAGATACTACTACCATTTTAGAGTTTCAGTTTAGAGGGTGAATAGTTTCTTCTAGTCCAACACACAATAGACTCGACAGATATTATCAACATATTGTCTGATGTCGTCTAAGAATTTGGATTTAAAACTTACCTATTCAACATTTTGGACTTATTACACGTAAATGTGAGATCTTTTGTTCCCTTGTTTGGGTGCTGGAAAAAAGAAAATGCAGTGGAGAGTGAAAAATGTATTTGTTTCGAAAGATGGTAGGATCTTGTTTTCTGAACTTGGGATTGGTTGGTGGAAGAGTGAAAAATGTTAACAACTTTTTTTTTTTTTAATTTAGTTGTGCTTGTCTTATGGGAGAGTGCATGATTCGGATGTCAAAGTAGACATTGAAAAACTGTGTCTATTGCTACAATTTTTGACTTGTTCAGGGTATTGTTATTGATTCAGAATCGTAAGGCTGCTTGTGGGCGACACAGAGAAGAGATTCTTAGTCAGCTTCGGGAATTGGCCAGGTCTGAGCCATTGGATCTTGAACAATATGTGCAACCAGAAAACCTGTCCTCGGCTTTTGAAAGTGACGTGGAGGTTGATATCTATCCTTATCATGAGATAAAGCTTTTACTTCACTTGTTTTGTACTTGTGTTTGCTGGTGCTGATGCCTCATGACGGGTCATTTGTTTTTTCAAACCGTGTTATGCCTGTATGTATGTTTATGTACAAGGGATGGGCTTTTGTGTTTCTAGATAAGGTTTGCTTGTTTTAACCTTTTTTATTTTTCATATTGAATTTATATATGAGAATTTTGTGGAGCATATATTTGAATTTGTTAAATAGGAAGTTAACTGTGATTGTTGTGAGTGTTCAATTCGCATAAAATTTTCATGCAAGATTAACCTTGGGGGGTAGTACGATATTGGCACTAATAGTCCTTGTTACACGATAATACAGTTGATCCCATGAAAATAGTAGTTATACTGAATGAAATCTAGACGAATTATTGCTGAAAGGGTTTCATTAGCGGATTCTCCAACTTCTTGTAAGATTTCTTGGATGGGAACATGACTGATGGCTTGATTTAGTCAAACATTTGACTGGATCTGGTACGAGTATTTTGCTCTTGTAAAATGAGAATAATACCGAAATATGACTTTTCGGGTAGTTAGGTTGCATGTGATGTAATGATGGGTCATGAATCATACTCTGAAAACACTTAAATTTTGACTTTGACTGTAAAAAATCTCACATAATACGTTTTTACTTATTTTCAAATTGAGCTCTGTTTCCCCTACAGAAATTACTAGCATTCTTTTAATTTTGAATTCCGATTTGCTGTTCTGATAAATCTTGCAAAACCTATCGCCAGCAACATATATCTTGCTTTCTTATTTCCTGTGTCTGGCCTTGGTCTCTTCTCTTATGGGCAAGCTAGGTTGTTAGGTTGCTCTTTTAAACCATTCAACGATGCCTTCTTAATTGTGCATGGTGTATGGCATACCTCCTGAAATTATTTAACTGAAAAAATCATTGTGCTGCCATATTGACTATGTATTTCAGTGGCATAGAGAAATGAGCGAGCCTATGTATCAAGTTGTTCCTCCTGACCCATCATTGAGAACTTATACTGAAGAAGTTCCAGTTAAACAATCCACTTCTGTGGGGGAAACTCACACCTTTGGCGACAAGGGAGGGAATCCATCTATTTCTCTTAACTCTGAAACCCTACCAACTACTCCCAAAGCTGGTGCATGTGAGTTAACTAGCCAAGAAAGAGATTATGCATTGTTACGGTATAAACAGAAGAAGAAAACAAGAAGGTATTACTAGTACAGCATCTTTTGCTTGCTCTCTGTGTGTACGTTAGAGGTATTTATATCTTAATTTGTAATGCTTGCTGAGCTGCCCAATTTCTCATGTTAAATTCTCACTAGACCTTCTCCCAACTTTTTACCCCTAACATGCATTGTTATATGTTTTTATAAGTTATTTTCATTTCCATTTTCACAATACACGCCTTAAATCCTTAGACAAATCTTTTATAACAGTGGACACAAGTATAATTGTTGGATATAGCTTTGAGAGATATCAAGAATGAGTCATTATTATCTGACCATTTCCACCAATACGTTGATTTATTAACTGAAAGAGTTCAGCTCAGACTTTTCTGGAATAGTGTTCATATTATTTGTTTTGTTATCGTCATTTACAGTGAAGTGTACTGTGTTTCTGTAATTAACTAGGCCTTGTAATCTCCTTGCTATATAAAATGGTTGTTGGCTTGTTGATTAATATGGATTGTGAACTGCTAGCATTTGTGAGTTCTGATCTTGTTGATTGGTTTATGAATTTGTGAAATCTTAGATTATTAAATTGACATACTTTTTATGGAAAACAACAGATATGACAAGCACATAAGATATGAATCACGAAAAGTTCGTGCAGAAAGCAGGGTGAGAGTCAAGGGTCGATTTGCTAAGATGGAGCGGGAACATTAAAATGGTAGGCTGGTATGACACCATAACTATAATTCCCAGCTCAAATCACATACATTATGTAACACGTCTCTTGTATGTTGCAAGTGATGCATCCTTGGATCCAGAGCTTGGATATTATATGCAGACATTTTCTTGCAATATAGTTGGCACTAGTCTTTTTACTATTCCCTTTGCACCATAATGATTGCACCTGAGGTAGACGAATAGGTGCAGTCTGCTGTAAACCAAAATCTAATTCACTGGGGTCTTTGGCCTTGAATCGTGTTTGGAGAGTCTCTTGTGGACTTCGATTTTTGTCATGTTGATTATTAAATAATTGATGAAAAAATTTAAGGTAAATTGCGGACTCCTTAAATTGGTATGAAGAGGTGTTGAACATTCCATGAGAGCAAATGAAAGCAAGTTATACTTTTCTTAATGTTTGGATATTCTGAGAATGTGAAAGCTGAGGTATAACACAGCTGGCAAAGTGCTACCTAAGGATTTGTGACAAGAACACCTTGTATCTTCTGCAATTTCATTGTTCCTTGTTTTGCCAAGGGGAATATGTTACTGTATCTGAACTCAGCCCAGTCTGCAAGTGTTTCCCAAACTTTTAAATTTCTCTTAACGGAATGTGCTTTCAAGTAGTTCTAGAACAATAAGTACTGACAAGTACTGATTTAGCAAAAAATGTGCAAATAGAAGTGTTAAGTGCACATGCAAAGGACACAAACTGTCTAATTTATCAGACTAATTGTCTGGTAAATACTGAAGTATGTGTTGCTGAACAGCATTTAGCTCTAATAATCTAGGTAAGCGATAGAATCTGTTCTTTCTTCATGCATATTGCCAGGTTATGTATGCAACTTTCAGTCATAATTTAGTCCATTGGCAATTTGATTGAATGCAATGCGGTTCTTGTCTTCAAGGAACCTCGCAATTTAAAAAAAAAAATTGTATGTTTTGATCTCATCTTATAAATCTGATAATGTACTATCGTCTCTTCATTTCCATATCATGTCTGCTTAAAGCATTGATATCGTGTTGGACAGATATCTTTAGCATTTGAAGTATATATGGAGCAGAAAAGATACATGGAGAAGGAGTTATTTTTGCGGGCTAGCGCATTCTTCTGTGGTTTTAGAAACACGGTAGCTTGGATGATGTTAACGTTCCAGCAAAATGTAAGCTTGTACAAATGTTTTTCCTTGTTACTCATTAGAGAAATGCTAAAAACACATTGTCTGACGCATTCTTTGTCCTTGTAGAGGTGTGTTTCTAGCACTTTTCTAACTCTATGAATGCTAAAATGATATAGGATGTAGAATGTTAATTGTTGACTTTTCTCAGATATTTACGAAAGTGTGAGGTGTATATACCAAAATAAAATAAATAAAATTGCGTGAATACTACACATCAGTGAATAATACCTTGGAACATATGCCGGAATGCTAATTCTTGGACGATCAATTGTTTGTTTGTTTTTCATTTCCTTTGACAAAAGAAATCTTGTTATGTTTTCACTGATATGGTCATCTCACATCTAATCCATCTTGGTACTGTTTATGTTTATGCCTAAAAAAGGTGAAAGGAAAGTCCGAAGCTTGAGCATCATTGAAGAAAGGTGATACTATTGTGCTATATTGGTTTTAAATCTTTGAACTAGCTAGCTAAGCATAACAAAGAAAAAAGGAATACCAAGTTGTCTCAGGAGCTGATACTAACTGCTACCAAACAATTTGTACGCACTAACAAACAGGTAATTGTAGAATGTATTGGTAAGTAGAATATGTGTCTTGGAACAAGGGTCTCGATTAATCAAAATTCTGAAGTTATTAATTAGCATGCAGAGCAGATAGATTAGCCAGTGTAAAAATCAGAAATAATATTAAACAACATAAATAATGCTGATAAATATGCATAAGCTATAAGGGAGACATTAGTTGCAGATGGATTGGTTGAGTTATGATTGTATTCATGCATGAACTGTGAATCGTCGTGGTGGTCCCCGCACGCTTTGGTCCCCTTGGCAACTTCTGCATATATAACATGTCTTCTTCCTCTATGAAATATCTTACAGAATTAGCAGCCAGTTAAGTCTCTTTCTGACGCTTCTCGAACATCGCAATGCTTTCTTTTCACCTGAAAAATCACATTCACTAATGGAGCCACCTTACATATTTCCCATTGACATGAAAAAGAAAGCAAAAGGATTTTTCTTTTTCTTGTTTTTTTATTCCAGTTAAAAGGAAACATAGGATCAGTGCTTCATATGGGCGTTGAAATTAGATTCTTCAACTTTACCAGTAATACCAAATTTAAATCGCATTTAAATTTTAAAAAGTTAGCCTTTTTTTTTTTTAACAAAAGAATGAGTTTCATTACTCAATTACGTAATCATGTAAAATGAATGTTCTTTTTTTCTTCTGAATTAATGGTGGTTCTTGAGTTCTAAAAGAAGATTCTCTTTTTGTTGAACCTGTTGTTATTTAGAAAGATGTTACAGAGAAGTACTTATTAATAGGAACTATAAAATTTAAGATAATGATATTTTAATAACATGTTTTTAACAATATTTTAATATCATTTACATTTTAACATCATCTAATTTTAACTCATCTATGTGTCATTTTGTGATTCGTCTAAAATTATTCTACAATCAATAATAATAATCATAAACATCAACATAAATCAATCGCATTTAATCGCATTATGACACATTGATGATGTTAAAATGTTATCAAAAAATATTTCAAGTATGATTATTCTAAAATTTATATGATTTATGAAAAAACTATTGTTATCGGTAATTGTTTTCATATAAAAAAGAAAAATAATGTTCACAACAATCAAATTAAAACCAACCTAAATGGACCTCATTAAATTCCACCAAATATTAAAAATAAAATGGCAACGATTAATTTGTCTAGAATAAAATTTTCAATTTTTTTTATAGAAAAACCATAAAATCAACAGAAAAAAATAGAATGGAATTCAGAGGCTTTATTCTTGTGGATACCTTTGGTGGGTGGAGAAATTGTTAAGACCATTTCTTTCTATTAACAATCAGTAATCTGAAAATTGTGCACTAATGTGAGGCTATGATAGTGTTTTTCTTGCTCTGTCTTTATGTTTGCTTTCCACCAACTTTTTTCGGTAAAAAATGGTTATGTTCACCATTCTCTATTTTCTTATCGACTAAACTGTATTTGATACTACTCATTGTAACACTATGTTTATCTAAAACAACTATATACATATTATGTTGTTAAATCTATACATACTATGTTATAATATCACTCGTCATAGAATTTACAAAAATAAAAATATTTTAAAAATCATATGTACAAAATATAATAAAATCTACTATTACATTCTCTTTTAAGAAGACATTTTGAAAATGCATGTACACAATCGTAACAAATTTCTATACAAATAACAAATAAAAAAGAAATTAATGAAATGAAAATAATAACATATAATTTAAATTATAAATAAATGATACATGATTATTCATTTCATTATATATATATAAAAGATGAATATGAATATTAAAAAGATAAAGATGAATATGAATATTAAAAAGATATTCAATAACAAATATTAATTTATATTCTTACAAAAGATCATTCCTTGACATAAATCAACACTTTGATCAACGTCATATTTAAAAAAAAAAAATTAAGTTCATTCCGATCAGTATTCATATACTTACAAATATTTAGATATGCACATAAAAAATTAGTTTCTCAACAATAACTGATGTCTGAATCTATATGATTTAGACCTTGACCCAACCTCGTGTTATTTCTATCATCTTCTAATATAAAACAAAATTAACTAATCACATGTTCATAGTTATCAATTTGTGTAGTTGTAGTGATTAATTTTAATAATGAACTCTAATATAGAAAACTACGTTAAAAGAAAAAAAAAAGTCAAAAATCACACACTTCTAATATATAAATAGGTAATAATTTATAGTTTATTTTTGTAAATAATCAATAATTTGAAATATTTTATTTATCATTTTTATTTATTTAAAAGAGTTCATACTAAAATTAGGTTAATATGATTTTAACTTTGTTATTTTAAATATAAAAAAATAATTTAATCAAATTAAAAATTAAATTTGATACAATCCTTTTTTATATAAAAAATTATATGAACTTTTATTTTATATTCTTACCGGAAATGAGTAAAAATTTTCTGAGATGATGACATGTTGATTACCAATATAGAACAAAAAAGAAAAAGAAGTTCACCTGTTCAACTCAACAAGAACATAAAAAAACATAATAAGAAATATATATATGAAAGAATAAATACTTTATTAATATTATTGATTAACAAATTATATTTAAATAATATAATTAATTGACATGCCTTGATAATATTATTGATATAGTCTATTTAAATTATTATTTCTATATACATATATCAATTATTTTATTGATATTGTATCTAATTATCATAATACTTATTTGGTATAATATTTGGTTATGTACAAATAATGTACCCATTAAAGTGATATTTATATAAATATTATTATTTATTTTATTTATTAGTCTAGATTAAAGAGGAGACGTACTATTTATACGGTATTGTATTTTAAATTTATATAATCATAATTTTATTATTATATAGCATTGGAAAATTGTACTTTTTTATTTTAAAATTTTCACTAAATCATAATTTATAATTTCACTTTTTTAAATATTTAAATAAATATTAATATGATCAGTTATTTAATTATGAATATAAATATTTAATTATAAAATAATGATGAGAATATTTAAACTTATATAAATCCTACTTGTTCTTTTTAAAATTTATATATTCTGGCAATAAGTTCAACTAATATATATTCATTTGTAATGTAAATAACATTTTATAAGATGTTTTAAAATACGGAAATGGTAAATAAGAATATAAGATGACAAAATCTAAAATGAAAAATTAGGGACTCAAACTCAAATGCTTTACATAAATTGATTTATTAAAAAAAATTGTAAACAAGGAGAATATCTTTTTACCATACTATTCTATTTTTTTTATTTTTTAAATTTAGTGAAATAAATTATAAATTATAGGCGACCCCATACCCTGCCAAAGACAGTGAATAGAGGCTACTTTTGGAAAGCATGTAAATCAATAATGTTTCAGACAATTTCTTAGTATTATACTGTCATATTGATTGTGCCATGTGCCCTCACTCAATAAGACCCTTCTTTATGGGAATTCCAGTAATAATAACCTATGCATTTGACTACAATATCTTTCTTTCTATTTTATTTTATCATGTCAGCTCAATATTAGATACAAAACTATTGATACTTCATTTTTTTTAAATATTAAATATTGATAATTGATATTACACCTAAACTTTCACTCAATTTGTACAAAAACTATAGTTATCATAAACATAATCCAACACTTAAGTCATGGACAAGCATGATTAAATAAATTTTTACCCTATCTTCTATTCATGAACAAGTTTAGATTTTTTTTAAAATTATAGTGTTAGAATCTTTAAATATATTAATTTTTTCGATATATTTTAAGATACTAAAATTAATATCTGTTGATATATTTTGTAGTTCTAGTAATTATCTTGGATACTTTTAATTTTTGTCTTAGTCTGTTTTAAAAGATAAGAAAAATTCAAATTAAATTTATATATTTTATCAAAAAGATTTAAAAATGTTTGGGGTGAATGCCAAATTTATTTTTTATTTAAATAGGTTTGTAAGAAATAATACTCCCTAAAATAATGAATCCTGTCACTTTAAATGTTGTTTATAAAAGTTATAACATATAAACGAAAAAAATCATAGTTAATGTATCATCTCGTTCTTTTAGTTCTGGACACCAAGACACATGTCCTTTCAGTAATTCGATTAAATTATATTAATCCAAAATTTATCATAGAGTTTTGTTTAAAATTATAATATATGTCGCGGTTGTTAATAAATTTATACAAAATAATATTTTTTATCTAATTATGAAATTATAATTTTATATTCATTTGATTATTTATGTTAATTTTTGAGTTATGGAATCAAGGAGTCAAATAATTCTGTATTTATATAATTGTTTTTTGTAAATATATCAGTATGAAATGAACTTCCGTAAAAGATGAAGATTGAACAGAAAATATTTAACTGTATACTATTTATATATATTTATATATAAATATATTTCCTTCTTTATTATTCATAAGAAATATTAATTTTGGTTGAAGAAGGAAGGTGAAGAAGGTTGCATATTGATCTTGAGTAGCTACACGTTACTGCATTTACCTAACTTTTCAAAGTGAAATGACTTTGTCATGCATTGATAAGCAAAGTAGTAGCTACCTATATTTACTGTTACTGCTCTTAAATAAATCGACCTACCATCTGCTAAAGTGTATTCACTACAAACACACAAACCAAATTCAATTTAACTACTACCAGACCCATCATAAATTAAATATCGCACCTATATTTTGAAGTTCAAGCTCTAAGCCAAAAACAGATTCACTCAAGAAAATCTTTGGCTAACAAATTGACACTACAAATATATATATATATATATAAAAGGTGAATAATGTCTAGCTTCTTGATCTGTAATGGAGTTTGAGAACAGAATGCAGCACCAGTAAGAGAAACACGGTGGACCCAATAACGGAGAGGACCAATGCAGCTGTCATGTGGCGACAATAAGCATCAAAGACATCGCACACTTTCATCCATTGCAAGTGCTTGTTACCCTTCTGCGCTATGATTCCCACTGCACAAGCTGCACCATTGGCTGAGAACAACAGTGCCATCAACACAAGGTCTAAAGCTGTTATCACCAAATCTGTCAAATCGCTTTTTTTTGTTCCACTGCTTCTTGCCATCACTGTTATCACCAATGATGCAGCTGCATATGAGCATGCTATTGCGTTTGACACCACAAAAAACCTGTTCCAGACATTCCAGTTATTAATATATTCTCGGATCACAGTGGAAACAAAAAACCAGTTACTATATATCCAAGCTATATATACATGACACATTGGAGAACAGTTCTGATGTATATTTCTGCATTCCAAAGTATAAATGAAAAGGAAAGAAGTTAGTTGTTGTGTTCAGATTTTGTTTTCTCTTGACTAAAATCTAAACATGTACCTACTTCTTTACTGATCAAGCAGTATATACACATAAAATCTAAACTAGTGTTTCTTTCAAGAATCACAAAATCTCTGACTAGATTTAGAGAGAGAGAAATGATCAAAACTAGCTGACTAGTGGGTTGATGGTATACATATAAAAAGGGAAGCTTACACCATAGCAGATATATATTCCCACTTAGCAGTGGCTCTGAATTTCATTTCAGCGTAGGAGATGACTTTGGTCTGATTGTCTACACCAACAAGGATGGTTGCAACAAGAGTGAGTGAGAGGCCAAGAAAGCGCAGGAACAGATCGTGGGATCTTTCTTTGGTTGGCCTTTCGACCACCTTGACATCAGAGTGCACTCCATCGAGGTTGGTCTTGGTGTGGCTGCTCATAGCTGGATCTGGTGGTGCTGTGAAAAAGCAAAATGGTGTAAGAATGTGTAATTTAAAGGAAGAAGATTTGTGTTGTAGGAATGTTATGAGATATAATATTAATAAGGAGACGATGTATGAATGAGAAAGGTGGGGGGGTTGGAGATGCATTGAAAGCAGCTGCTACTGGCTCTCCCTATTTAATGTCATCAACTATACTCATATGTTGTTTACTTGGAGAGTCATAACATTAATGCTCTAGTTTCTTTCATTCATTCATAACCTTTTTCTTTAACTTGATGCTAACCATTGCATCTCTGATGTTCCTGTCAAAATTTATGTCAAAACGTGTTCTTTCTTTGATAGATGCTGCTAGATTCAAATATGTCTTTTCGATTCATGATAAGATTTAGATTTTCTCTTTGTTGTTGTTACGTATTACTTTTAAATCTAACAAAAGGTTATGATTATTGCAGATCAGCAGGATAATATTTTAAAAAATGTTAAAAAGGATTTTCAAATCTCTACAAAAATAATTACCACAAATTGTGTTTCTAAAACAATTTTTATAATTGTCTAATTTATAATTGGTTGAAGAATATGTTGACTATCATGAGTAAAAAAAGAGTTTTAATGTTTATTATTTTTGAGTTTTAATGTCCGTCAAAACACTGATATCATAACAAGACATTGATTAAAGTTGGAAGAAAAAAAAGTTAATTGATGTCGGAAGAAAAAAAAAAGACGTTGATTGACTTAAAAAAAAGTTGCATTTGAGACGTTTATTAACGTTGTAAATTGACATTTTCATATTATAATTAATTGTGAAAATTAACATTTTTCAACATGAAATGACGTCCAAAATTGTACTTTCAGACGTCTCTCCTTTATTATTTTTTAATAAATAAATTATTTTTACAATTTTATCAAACCTAAAAAGAATACTAGTTAACGTAGTTTAGTTTTAGAATTTCATATATCCCTAACACGTTTTTAAATTTATATGAACTAATCAAAACTATAAACTAAAGCTATCAAAGTAAAAAATCTAAAAACACCATCAGAATATGGCTAACACAAATTTGTATGTACATAGAAGGAAGAAAGAGTTGAAGGAAGAAAGAGTTGTCATCCGGTCAATTCTTACTATGTATGTTAGTAGTGATATTACAATAGTAATAAATGATGTTATAATGAACAATGTATACTTCTAACTATTTACTTGTGATCTTTAAACGATAATAACTTTTATTCTAGTTGGCAGATTTGACATTATTATATATCGATTTAAAGTAAAAAAAAATTCAAGGTCTAAATACTGGCTATTCCTTTTATATTTAAAAAAATTGTTTTTTTATTTTTCGTCAATTTATTTTTTTTCCTTTTTTTCTTTCAAACTTTGTAAAAATATTTCACATACTTAGACTTTGAACTTTGATCTAAAATATTTTATGGGGCTTCTCATGATTTTTTGATGCTTTGACCAAATTTTCAAGTTATTTGGAGTTCTTTTGAATATACTCTCAATTTTATTCTAAGTTTGGATGTATACGGTGTATGAACAACAAACAAGTTCAACAGTACCCATATCAACAATACCAACAAGTTCAACCAATTGATAGCCCATAAAAAACGAAAAATGAAAGTTCATCAAAATTCCAAAACGAAACTAATATTGAAGGTGAGTTCGTTGTCATAATAAATTGTTGCTACTAGTGAAGGAGAAAGGAGAACATGCCTATGCTTCAAAGAGTACTTGTACATGAAATCAATGGATCAAAGCGAAAGAAAATTATACATAAAATAGTTAATTAACATGCATTTGTGTAAAATAAAAGAAAGATTACATGTGTTGGTCACCGAAAAATTCATCCAAAAAAGGTTTGAGCAGAAAAGAAGGTTTCGTGGAAAGATAAATGAATAAATTTTCACCTTCCCCTCTAAATTTTTAATGAATTTACTAAGATATAACATCTGAAAAATAATATTCAAACGTTTTATAGATCTTTGATGTCTGAACTTAGAACATTCATGGATAAATATTTACCTTCATATCAAACATTTTCATAAAATTTATTCAATATAATGTTGAAAATTAAGAATGATCATAACTACCAAAACTCTAATGATCATAACTCTTACCATAATAAAAAAAATGAAAAGAATAAATAATAGAAAAGAAAGGAATAACTAGAGCTATGAAGTTTTTCTCTTCTTAAACAAGTCTATATATATATATATATATATATATATGTGTGTGTGTGTGTGTGAAACTTCTATTACTAATCCAAAAACTATACGAAGAAATAAAAAAAACCATGTTACAGCTGTCTAATTAAAGATCGTCCGTTTCATAAAACACTTATTTTATAGTAAATAAAAAATAATTCAATATTTTTATTAATAAAAATACTATATTTAAAAAATATATATAAATAATATAAATTAAATTAAGAAAATATCTTTTGAACATAATAAGTTGACAGTGAAGTTAAAAATATGTAAGAATTAAGAATAAAAACTGAATCCAAAAAAAAAAACTAGGATTTTATTTTGAAACTATGAAATTTTTTACAACTTTGATCTTTTTATAGAATCACGTTATAAATGTTATTATTTCATTTTAAAGATTTATTTATATTTATCATTATCGTTTGAATGCAATTTTATTTATATTTATCATTATCAGTTGAGTATATATTTATCATTTATCATTATTTCATTTTAAAAATTTATTTATATTTTTAAAAAATTAATGTTATTTAATATATTTTATATTTAAAAAACTATTAAAATATAATTTATATTATTATAGTAATAATATTAAAAAAAATAAAAATAAAAATAAAAATAAATAATAATTAAGAAATTTAAAATTTTCGAAATTGTATTTTATTATTTTAATATAATTTAATATAAATTTATATATTAGATCAGATTTCATGTAATTATTTTTATTTTTGTTACTTTCATTTTAATTTTTATAATATAATTATTATATGAAAAATTAAATTATTATTAAATTTTAAATAGAAAATAAAATTTTAAAAAAGTCATCGGATATTGGTATCGATAACTATGTTATCGGATTCCGACACGAAAGTTTTTTCAAAAATTTGTTTTTTATTTATATTTTATTAATTATTTAATTTAATTTAAAATTTTAATATTATTAATATTTTTTATATTTAAATAATTATTAAAATATAATTTATATTATTATATAGTAATATTAAAAAAATTAAAATAAAAATATAACAATTAAGAAATTTAAAAATTTTGAAATCCTCTTTTATTAATTTAATATTTTAATATAATTTAATATATTATTATATATATTAAATCAGATTTTATATAATTATTTTTAATTTTGTTACTTTTATTTTAATTTTAATTTTTGTAATATAATTATTATAATAATACAAATTATATTTTAATAATTATTAAAATATGAAAAAGTATTAAATTTTGAAATTAAATTAAATAGTTATTAAATTATAAATAAAAGATATTTTTTAAAATTTTGTTAAAAATGTGTAAAGTTAAAGAAATGTAGAATCACTTTAAGTAGAAAGAAAAGAAATAAAAAAAATATTTACTAAGATTAAAAATAAATTTTTGAAAAAGTTGAAAATACAGGATAAAGTGTGGAGAATGAAACATTCTTACTTTAGATAAAATGAAAAAAAGTAAAATAAGGTATTTATTAAAGTTAAAAGTAAATTTTTGAAAAAGTCGAAAGTGCACGATGAAACGTTGATGGTGGAGGATGAAACTCCCATTTTAAAATTAAGTGGTTTCAAATTATTATTTTTCTTTATTTTATTGGGTCCAGCCCATATATTTTCTGGGCCGGAGGGAAAGTCCACAAAGAAATCTTCTTCTAGGCTAAGCGGTGTTCTGCAAATTGTTAGGGTTTGCTATTCAACCATTGTTGTTCCCCAATTTGTTCTGAAGAACCTCCATCTTCCTACAATGAAGAAGAATGAGGAACACAGTGATAATCGCAAGAAGAAGCACATGATGAAGAGGAACATTTCGAGGTTGGGCGGTAGTGGCCTTTCGCTCGAAGCTTTCGCCAATGCAAAGTCCAAGAACAAGCAATATAACCCAGCTATCATAAGTAAGATACTTTCTCCATTTTATTCGTTCAACTTCTTCCTCATACTTTCAACTCTTGTATTGTTTTATGTGTGTACTAGAATAGTTATAAATTTTCAGGAATATTCTGCTCTTGGCAGAAGGAATTGAATAAAAGGAATCGAACGTTGTAGTCAATTCCTAGACTCTGTTGCTTTTAAATTATTATAAACCCCTTTTTCTTCCATGTGGTTGGAGTTGTGAGTGATTGGGTGCATTTATATGATATAGCGGACATAACAATTGAAATATATATTATAAATCATTCACACATGTATATAACAATTGAATTGTAGATAGATCAAATTTGGCATTGTATTGACTCATTCAATTGGTTGGCACTTGTAAAAAATGAAAAGAAGAGGCAGGACACAGGTAACAACCACAAAAATGATAGTAGCCCCCGTATAGGAAGGAATTGAAATCATGTTTTTGAGAAATTTCACCATACGATAGTGCTATGGTGTCATAATGGCTTCTATTTAAGAGTGCCGTCTGTTGGCAGTCTCCAAATATTATGGGTTTTTTCTTGTTGGAAATGCCAAAGGTGCTTAACCAAAGGCATCAACATACCATTTAATGTTAAATCAAGTGAAGTGGTCGTGTATTGGAATTGAATACAAACGTTACCACTATTTTTTGGATATTTTTATAATGAATTGGAAAAATATGGTAATTTTATTTCACATCCCAGTTCAGAGGAAAAGATGAGTGTTGGATGGGATGTCATGAAATACACTCCTTCGAGGTTCATTCCATCCTATTTTAAGCAATCTAGACTATGTAGTATAGGATAAATCATTGTAGTCTGTCTTTCGTTTTAAAAATGTTTTTACCCTAATTTCTTCCTTCTCCTGTTGTCAAAATGTCCAATACCCTTATTCTTTATTTACTGGAAGAGTAATTATTTATTTGATGAATCAATGTGATGAAGTTGATTGTAGTCTGATCATTAAATCATATTATAAACAAATCTGATGAAGAATTTTTTTATTAGTTATAACTTGTGGTTATAACTGATAGTAAAATAAGAGCTAAGAGAGAAAAGAGAGAGAGAGAGAGAGGGGAGTGTGAAATTTACTTTCCTTCCTTTTTGTTGGGCTGGACCACAATTACAGCAACTTTCCAACACACCTAAACATTTTCATATTACTTGTTCCATCAGTTTTCTTTTTTGTGCTAAAATCTCTAAAAAAAAAATTTGCACTGCCTGTGAATGATTGTGTGTCGGGGATATGGGTAAGGACTCAAATACAACATGGAAATAACAGTACTAATTTAAGTAAATAGTTTTTCCCACGAGGGAACATTTGTCCGAAATCCTGTGGAGCTAGGTCACAATTTTTTGTTAATGGAATTGAATATTTTGGTGATGATCAAATCTTAAATTCATAGTTCAATTTTTTCCGTTATGTGATTCTTAAAACATTTGATAGAGTTATTTTTTCTGCATTTTCCAATAGTGATTGTGTTCTAAAATTTTCAATTTTATGTGATCTTTAAGACATGTTCCAGTCATGATAAGCTTAGTAAATACGACTCTTGACCTTCTCTTGAATTCTTATTATATCCTCTCATACAGAATTATGAATTGAGTTGAGAATGTTAAATATTTACCATATCTAACTTCCTTTGTGATAACTATTATACTCTTCTAACAGTTGTTGTTTCTTTGTTGTCAGAGAAACAAAGGGAGTTCTATAAAAATGCTAAGAATGTGAATAAGTTTAAGAAGTTGTTAAAGCAGAAAAACCAGCAGAATGATCGTTCCTTGGGTCAGAAACATGACAAGGTGTGATATCTTATCAGCTGTTTGCTTTTGAGGTTATTAACATGATTGTGAAATCAGGGGGCATATTGTGCCTTCATTTCATGAATTACTACTCTTTAGTGGGTGTTTATGTTTTTGGTGCGCATATTCATTTAGTTTCTGTTTGCTGTTACAGGATGTAAATGAAACTGACAAGTACAAGGACAAGAGTGAGAGAAGGAGGAGGAAGAACAGTGCTTTTAGTTTGGAAGAACTGTACAGAAAGCAACATGAAGAGAAAGAGAAAGAAAGAATGGAGAGAGAGGCAGTGTTGAGGGTAAGGAAGGAAGAGAGAGAACAAGCTGAAACTCGGAGAAAGGCTGTGCGGGAAAAAATGCTTAAGAAGACCCGAAGAGGGCAGCCTGTTATGAAATACAGAATTGAGCATCTTTTGGAGACTATTCAAGGTTCAACTAAAATGGCAGCTGGCAGTGAATCATAAGTAGTGGAATAGAAAAAGGACGAATGTTGGAGAACATCCTTCTGTTAAATGTTATCAGCATCGTAATGTTTTTGGTTTAAAGAACATGACTGATATTAATTTGGTGATCAAGCTTACCGAGGAACGATGCATTGATCACTATTATAGTATATTATATCAGTCAGTATACCATTGATCACATATTTGTGGCAGACTAAATCTCCAGCTTTTCATCTATGTCATGCTTGTATCAAATGTTGTAATCAAAATTCATTCTTGTAATTGCTCTGTAGAACCAGTAATAATCACTGCTTGTAGTGAGTATATTTAAGTTGACATTTGTCTCAATATACAAAGAATTAAATATAATCTGCAATCCTCACATGCTTTCAATACTAAGAATTGTGTATTTTACAGTTCAAGAAACAAATAAAGTATTTTTATGTTTGAGTAATTGTTGATGCTCAAATTTGCTGAATACGACCTTTTATTGGCAACTTCCAAGTTAATTTGGAAGTTATTTACTTCCAAATACAACGTAATGATAAAGATACGAGTTATATTTTTACGACTCTTTTAAAATTTTTTATTAGTTTCCAATATATATCCATAATATATATATATATATATATATATATATATATATATATATATATATATTATGGATATAAGTTTCTATTATGAGTTAAACTTTTCAAAATATTCATGGTCGAATTTGTTCAAAAATAGGATGATCATATTTCCGAAATGTTAAACCGACAATTGTTTTGATTTTATTGATGAAAGCGCAAACATGCTGTCATGATTATTTAAGTTTTTATTATATTAAAATAATATTAAAATAGTAAAATATAGAAATACACACAATTTTATACTAATAACGTTAAAATAATATTTGAGATGCTTATTTTACATAGAAAATTGTATAGATATTATTAGTGGTACAATTGTTCAATTATTTACTTTATTAGATAAAAAATATTTTTTATGCATTAATTAAAATTATCAAATTAAATGATGATGGGTGTTACTCCCTCCACCACCACAACTTGCTTCCTCCACCACTCCATTCCCCTTTTATCTTTTTTTTTTTATTTTTTCATTCCTAGTTTACCCTTATTAAAATTTTAGGATTAATATTATTTAAAATCTCACGTGGGCATTTATTCTCTTTATCATTCTTCTCTCTTTTTCTTTATTATTTTTCCCAGGTTGTCTCTTACATTCCACTACCCTTGGGTTGTCTCTCATGTTTCACTTCTTCTTCTCTTTTATAGAATTGTGACGTGAGAGTGTGATGGACTTTGTGTTTAGTGAGATTGAAAGTGGGGAAAACAATTCATCTTCAGCCGTGAGTGTGGTGGTGCTTCAAGGTGCTGTCAGAGACATGAGAGGTTCAGAGGCGTGAAGGTGCGTAATAAAACCCTAAAATATAAACCGTATAATCTTTAAACGGATGTGAGCATCCGTCAACGGATGTCAACATCCGTTTCAGATCCAAACGGATACCCGACATCCGTTTTTGGCCTGGTTATCTTCTTCCTTTCTCCCAACACACGCACACTACAAAAAAAACGCAGAGCAGAGCACAACACAGAACACAACACAGAGATATATGCATTGCATTTAAAAAAAAAATATCATCACTGACCTTGTGAGAAAAAATGGAAGATGAGAAACGAATGTGATGGAGTTTGGATGAGAATCTGGGAGGGTTGGGAGGTGGGTGAGAAGGGGTAAAAAGATAGATTTTAGGGTTAAAGTAAATAATTAGGATTAAAAAATAAAAAGGTTATTTGTATAATTATAAAAGGTTAGTTTTGTAATTCAAAAAATATGTAATAAAATTGGGGAGGTGGAGGGAGAAAATGTGGTAGTGAAGGGAGTAACACCCAAAGATGATATATAATAATTACAAAAAATTATCTTTTTTATATGGTGGAAAAAATATCTCATTGAGATTTTTTCTTATTTTTTTACATTGTGGAAAAGTTATGTTTCTATATATTGTGGAAAAAACTATTTTTTTATATTCCAATTGATTTAACTTGTTATAATTCATTCAATGAGAAAACATGAAACATAATATTTTTTTTCTTATAACTATTTTTTCAAATACATCTACCTTACAATTACTTATAAATATTGACTTTTTATTCTTTTAAATATTAATTTTATTTCATCAACCTTGAATTCATTACTAGCTTCAATTGTTAATGAAATTACACATATCAATGTAAGGCCATTAAGACTAAGTTATGAATAAAACTAAGTTATATTAGCTAAAATGACATTTTACATTGATATTTTCTCTTTTTAATTATGTCTTTAATATAATTAACATTACAGCAATCTACTAGTATGTATTTATTACTTAAAAACCAATACTTATGGTACTTTTAAATATTTAAACATTCTTTAGAAACTTCATAAAACATGTCAAAGTGCTATTTCTTCTGTATTTCTCAATAATAATGGGTTCCAACATTTTCTATCATGTCATCTTTTAAGACATGTTCGGATGATGATAGAATTTAGATTCTTTATTAAATTTGTCTGTGTTGCTTCTCCTTTTAAAATACATAAAACCACTTATTTTAACATTTTAAAATATATTAAAAATACTTTTAAAACACCAAAAAACATCATAAACAAGAGCAACAAAAAAGTCTAGTACAGAGAATCTGGACCTCATGATAAGATATTAAACAAGCTTGAATTTTTATTACATCCTTTATCATACAGAGTTGTAGTTTTTTAAGTTTTACCGTATGTAACTTTCATTCTACGAGTAATAGTAGTTATATATTTTTATATTCATTTAACATAATAAAAAAATAATTACAAAACTTAATTTTTTATATTTTTTTAAAAAAGAAAAAGTAAAAAGTGGAAAGATGTAATGTTAAATGAAGGTAAAAATTGAGAGTAATTATTTCTTTGTTGTCATCTGTAAAAACAAAAATGCTAAGAATGTGAATAAGTTTAAGAAGTTGTTAAAAGATGAAAACCAGCAGGATGAACTCACTATGGCTGGGAAACATGACAAGATCCTCAATAAAATCGTAACTGGGACTTATCTCATCGCTAATTTCAATATCTTAACCATTTACTCTTCAATAAATCAAGCCATATGTGAGAAAAAAAGATTGCGGGGCTATCTTCCAAGCTTCTATTTTATTCATTTGAATTCTATAAACAGAGTATCTATGCAGCTATGAGAGGCAGAGGAGATGAATAGGAGACATACATCTCCAGTTATGTGCTTCAAGCTGTACTAGTTACACCAGAAAAAATGAAAATTGACCTAACAGATGCAAAGAATCAAACATATTGTGAGCAGAGAGAAAGGTGAATCACCAGCGATACACCACAACCTGCCTCTTGGGGGAAGAGCAGATAACCATAAGAGTGAGAGCAATCACCAGCGCCATCAGAAGTCCCATGAAGTCTATACACAACTCCACGCAAGCCATTATTGCGATTTCTCTTCTTCTCCAAAAGTAATCAAAGGCAAAACAAGTTCATCTATGGCCACGCAATTCCACTTATCTTCTTATGACTTTGTCTCTTTTGATTTGCAAATTAGGCAGCCCCAACTCTATTTAACTATCATTTATGACCTTTCTCATGGCGGGCCATTCCATGGTGGTTGGTTGAGTTGAGTTGCACCAACGTTGACCCAAGCAAAGGGTGTGCATCAGGTCTTCCTCTTTTACCATTATTTTAATGTCCTTTTATCCAAACTTTTCTCCAAAGTGGAAAATTTAAGTACCCATTCTCTAGTTTTAATATGAGGTAGTTACAAATTGTAAATTTTCTGGATCATTCCTCTCTGCCAAAAGTTTCCTGTACCAAAGTTTGGTGAACCCTATCTCACGCTCCATTTCAATTTTCAATTTTCAATTTTCAATCAATCAAGAATATTCAATACTTTCTAGAAATTATGCCCTAAAATTCAGTGAAATGATCATTTTAGATCTTCTGGATTACTCTAATTCCATACCAAACTCGTCACTAAACTTATTCACAAGTAGGGTTGTTTTTCCATACATTTCTTTATATTTTCACATTCTAAAAATACTTTCAGGATTATATTTGTTAAAAGATTTTTTTTAATAAATTTCGAAATTAATCCTTCAACAAATTTTTTTTGAAATCTATTAAAACACAAAAATAAGGCGTAATATTTTTTGAATTATAGATAGTTTTAAAATTTTAAAAGAATATAAAAATATAAAAGTGTGTTGAATTACAAGGAGAAACAACATAAATTAAGAAGTCAATTGTCAACATCTTTCAAATTGTGGAGTCTAAAAAGCACGGACCGTGGGATCCATCCATATTAAAACATTCAAAATCAAATAATTCAAAGTATTTGGTCTTTATTATGCCTTGGAGGCTGAATAAAAGCTAAAAAAAAAAAAAACTCTTTAGGAAACGAAATCAGCTTGGTTACACATTGAATTGGAATAAATTGTTTCTGCAACAATAATCCAAATTGTACTACGTAGTAAAGATTCTTTTCCTTAAGTTATTATATATAAATCTTATGTACTTGTTTTGTTCTTATTAGCTGGGCCTAACCTATAGTTGATGACTTAACCACCCATTGGAGACAAGTGCCTGGTTAGGTTCCAAAAAAGTTTCATTTAGCTATCCTTTTTTTCTTACAAACTAAAGATAATATATAAAATTATTCTATATTTTTTTTTCATCGTGAAATACAACTGTTTTTTCTTTATGTTTCAAATTCATCCTGGACCCCATTCAACTGCAGTTTATGTTATAATTTCTAGTTTAGGAAGGACAATCATCTTCTTCCATTCTTTTGCAAAGAAAAATAAATACAAAACTTGGTTTTACAATTAATTAATTAATATTATAGTGGAATTCTAATTCAAGTTATAGAAACTGGAAGTAGATATTTAAAAAATCGAATCAGTATAAAATTTGATGTTTTTTTTTCTGTCTTTTATCATCTTCTAGTATTTTGATGTAAAGATTTCAAAAGTTCAGTATTCTACTATACACCGGGTAATTGATTAAAGAAATTTTGAAAATTATTTTAAAGTTTATAATGAACTAAAATTTTGAAAAACCAATTCATTTTTTGATTTATGATAATTAGTTGATATTGTTTTAACAGAATTATTGATATAATTTGTTAAAATTACTAACTAGTAAAAAATCCATCATCTATAATATTTGTAAAATAATTATTATAAAAGATAGCAAACTTTACAATAATGTGTGATTGAATATCAATGTAAAGGATTTAGCTATTATTACTTCGAAATTAACTTTATGAGAAATATTAACTAAAAAGGTTGTTTATTTTCGTTAATGTGTTATTGAAAGAAATTTCGTTTTCTGTTTATTATTATAATGAATGTTTAATTATATATAACTTTGAATATAACATAATAATAAGGTAACATAATTGTGTGTATTGTATCATCCTAAAAATATAGCATAAAATTATATACATGTGTCATCATTTAACAATATAATAGAACAGTTGCTGAAATAATAAAGTTAAATTTACAGTTATTACAAAATAACTATAAAATTTAAAACTTTACATAAGCTTCCTAAGAACCAATGGGCTAGGACCTCCTGCCACCCGAGGTTAGTCCGTTATAACTCACCCAAGAACTAATAGGTTATGACTTCCTGTCATTCTCACACAATGAATTACCCATCTCTACTTGAGAACTTGTAATCATCATAATATCAGGATGAACTCCTTGAATTTCACTATTCGTATTCATACTTTACCACATTACTACTCATTACACTTAGACATTCCTCCTTGTAATTTTCTTCCTTATTACTTTAAATATCAACTTTTACTTGAATACCAATAATATTTCTCATACATAATAAATCCATACTATAATATGCAACCAAAACTAAACCATAAAATCAGCATTGGAAGATCAAATAACATTCCATAGAAGAAGACCGAACGTTAATCAATCCAACCCCTGACTACAACCAAATCGGAAAGGATCAATACAACCTACAAATATGACCGAACGGTCATTTAACGAGTAAGGCTCAAACATGAGCCACACACATTTAAGGATAGAATAATTAAACCGAATACTTCCAAAAATCGAATGCTCACCTAAAGCCTAATACTCTGATAGGATTTAACACTTAGTGTAAGACCAAACGGTATTCCACTATCCTCAAAGCAAGACCGAACGATATTTCATACTAAGTAAGGATGAGAGAATAACTGACTTATAGAATTAAAAATAAAATACTAACAAGAAACAAATCACTATAACCTAAATAGTTACAGTATATACCGAACACTTAATTTTTAATTCAAATTCTATTAATAAAACTTAACACTTTTAAGAAACCGATCGTTAGGATAATATGGTCCAACTATATACAGGAACAACTGTCTCAGTATAACCAATGTATTTAAGCCTAGTACAAGGACGAGGTCTAATAATAATAATATAGGAACTATCACTAACCAGAATACATACTCCAATAAGACTGATCATAAAGACATAACCATTAACACTTGATATATCAATCACTCCCTAAACCGAAAGGTCCTATACGATTGAGACTAAAATGCTAACTCTATTGATAAATTATTAACTAACCATGACCAAACGGTCAAAACCGAACACCTAGCATTTCTGCATAATTTTGCAAAACTCTTATAAACTTATACAGAATTCCCTAAAACCCAGAAACATACCTTTCATACAATCATATACTAATCATCAAATCAATTCATTCCATACACAATTATATCACATACAATTAAATTAAATAGTTTCTCTTACCTCTTAACAGACCGAACCGCTCACAGTACAAAATCTACCCACCACCAAGCACGCAAAGCCAATATTCACTGTTTGAGGAAAACAGACTACCCAAAGGACCATAAATGTGATCAGATTTGAAGAAGACGAAGATAAACACATGCAAACAGAAACTTAGTTTGCATATACCAGAAATTAGATTTTTCTTAGAAGTAGAAAAACCTATCAGCTCAAACCACAGTTTGATGTTTGAAAAGAGAACCCTTGCCACCAGCAACCCTCACACACTCTCTGATGAATGATCAGATGAAGGAAAACGTGAGAATCAATGGAGGAAAAGATGATAGTTTAGAGAGAAGTTAGAGAGAATGAGGAGAAAATGAGAGTTCAGAAAATTGAGAAAGAAAATGCATGCAGAAAGTGGCACCAGATTTAAAATTTTTACTTAAATACTACTATCAAAATCGATTGGTGCACTTTACTGCTCATACTTGTCTTTCATTTTCTGAAGCTCTAAATTCTCATCCTTCGATTTGACTTCCATTTTCTCTACAGCATTTAAGGGTTCTGACATATTAATACTACGATACCAATATAGTTACATATAAGGCATTAGTTATAGAATTAAAGACGTGGGTGTTAATCTAATTTTACTGGATTCCTGCAGCTCCATAATTTTCATCTTGTACTTCATATCCTTGAAAATTTTGATCCTCTAATTTAAGATTTTAATTTTGAAATTTGAAATGGGTGAACCGGTGAAGGAAGAAGAAGGAGGGAGAAAGGTATGTGATGAATGAGGATGGAGATGGAAAGAAAAAGATAGAGATAAATATGTCATTTCACAGCCGTATAAAAGTGTGAATTCAAATATATGGAGGTGCAGGAGGAAGTTGTCCTAATTTTACTGTCACCCTCATAACATGGGCTTTGAAAATATATGTGAAGATTGGGCAGATTTCTTAAGAAACATGGTATTGAAAAGTTGAATTAGTAGCAGAGACAGATGTAAAATAGTTAATCACATAAGGTGAAATGAAAAGTAAGGGAGGGTGAAATTGGAATAATGCAATGATAGAATGGTAAAATGAAAATGAAGGATATGGGAGAGTTAAAAATAAGAGAATAAAAATGATGATGGTGATGAACATGAAACGTGCGGCCATCATTAAGTAATGAAACCTGGTCTCACTACTACTCGCACACCTTCGCCCTTTTCTTTTTCCTGCTTTTTCTTTATTTGATTGGATAACTGTGGTGGGGACCAAACTCTCCCTGCAACATAATCTTCTTGTCTTGCCTGCTTTTTTTCTTCTTTTTCCTGATTTTCAGTTTCTTTTTCTGATAAACAAAAGTTTTTCACAATCACATCCTCTTCTTCTACAAAAATGTAATTGATGTGTTCTTTGGAACGGATCTGTTTTGTTAGATTAATACAGTATACGGTGGATGGTTTAAGAAAAGAGAAGTTGAATGAAGGAGAAAAAGCAAGGGACACCATCCAATGTGACCGAATCTATCACGTGGCTCGCCAGTCGAGGATCTTCTCCTCTCTTTCCCCGATAAACATTGAATGAAAAAGCAGATGTCACCACACCTGAGGGCATTTTTACCACCCTAGCCTTTCCTCTTTCTTTTGCTTTTTCAAAATGCCAGTGCCACAAAATTTGGGCCATTCACTAATTTGCCTGCCAAAGCCACCTGAAACCTGATTCTTTTCCTCCGCAAGCAAAACTTTTTAAACCTTACTCATCCCATCCTCTTCTCAGGGTGGTGAGGCCACCAAAGATCCATTGCAGCCTTTTACACACTGCTTTCATTCCGATTTAGCAAGCTGTTCAAGGCAACACATTGTCATTATCCGGCAATAAAATGAATCGAGTTTACATCACTTTTTTTAGCTAAAATGTGTAGAGGGCGTACGAACTAGATACCTTACGATTCAGTAGCATAAAATAATACTATACTATATGTAAACGAAAAGCAATAACTTTAAATATTTAAACAAAACCTGACTCTTTTATGTATGATTTTATACTTTCGGTAATTTGTTGAGAATAAAACAGAAGCAACTAAAAGTACAGTAAAAGTTATACATAGGTTTATAGGGACTATTAACAAAGCTGTTTCAACCGTTTTTTAGCTTATCTACTTGAACAAGTTTGCCTTTACTTTATTCACATCTTTTTCTTTTAACAATTCATAGTTTTCTAATGTTTACACAGGGACACTTTACCAAATAACGAACTTAGTCCGCCCAGAAACATGGATTTAGAGCTTCTATATGATCTTAAGATAAAAAAAAGTTCGATGCAAACAAATTAAGAAACTACTATTTTATTGGGCAACAAAAACCCTTTTAACTATAGGACCATTTTTTGTTTCCCACAATGATCGATAGTTCATCCTGATTCTGTTCTTCAGTTTTAGACACAAATGCATCAAAAATTGCGAAGGGCTAATAACGCGAGAATTACAATACGAATATTATAAATTGAGAATGCTTAATTAGAAAGACAAATGTGTCCAACATCCTACTAACGAAAGACAAAATTAGCATACAAATAAATTGATGGCCGCGAATATTAGTATGATGAATAATATAATTAGTATCTAACGCACATACAACAGTTTCAGTCTATTTATTAATCGGTAAATGAGCATCTCGTTAGCTCAGCCAGTGTAAAATGAATGGCATTCGAGCTCAAGCCGTCGGCGTACTCTCTTTCACGTACCTAGCTCAAAGACAAGCCATAACTGCATCTATGTAAGCCAGGCAACAGTAAATTCACTAGAGATTGCATACTGAGCGTGTACCTGTCATTGACAATTTCCCAAATCAAAGTGGCATTAGACTCTTCGACTCAATCCACAGCGTAATCACTCAAGCCTTAGCGAAGAATCATCTTCCATTGTCCACACAAAACCAGGCATGTCCAACCTTGGCCCGGCAACAGTCCTGTAAATATAAAGCTTCTCAACAGCACAATCATCCGGCCTAGAATCTGGAGGTCCTCTTTCATCAATGACTTCAACGTTGAGTCTGGGCATTTTCTGACCCAGTAGTTTACATGCTCCATAACTCACTGAGCAGGAGGACATCCAAAGGGATCGCATTGTCTCCAGCTTTGCAGCATTTGCCAAAAGCGCCTTGTCACCAAAGGGGCAGTCCCTGATCTCCAGCTTCCTAAGATTATCACACCCAGACAGCACATGATGAAGTCCCAGATCACTTTCTCCAGCAAAAGCCACAGATAGCATCTCCAGCTTCTTCCCGTAAGTCCCAATATACTCGAAAACACGATCTGTAAGAAGACCAGATAGAGATAGGCGTTGAAGATCCTTGCAATGTTCTACAATGGCTCCAAAACCAGAATCAAGTGGCTCATGCGTAAGATAGTCGGGCGTTCTAGGCTCGATGATACAAAGCCTAAAACGAGTCAAATTAGGCCTGTTCTGCGCAATTGTGAACAGGGCTGCATTAGACATTTGACGACAAAAATATAGAACTGATTGGAGCCGGGGGCAACCTTCAGACACAGAGACAAGGCCCTTTTCTGTCAATGCAACATTTGGTTCTAAACCGAATGGGTCAGACGGAAACACCCTTAACTCCCTTAAATCCTTACATGATGCAGCAAGGTTATAAAGACCAGCATCTTCTATGTAATCCAGAACCTGTAGCAATCACCTTAATCAGCAAAAGAATTTAAAAGTATGACTCCGACCAGTGAATCGGAGACGTAATATAGACATTGGCAGGCAAACAAATAAGACATACCCACAAACGCAACAAATTTGGACATTGACTGATAAGCTTAATAAGATCAGGGCTCTGAATAATAGCATAACTCAAGTTTAACGATGTTAGCCTGGAGCAGATGGGGTAGACAGCTGGGAGGTACGATGGGAGGACGTCCCAAAAACCAGACAAGCTCTTCAACTGCTTGCACCCAGAAAATGCGGCTTCCAGGTTTGAGAAGACCTCTGGTCGCATCTCAGTTGAGTAGACTCCAGTGCCTAACTCAACCAGCTGAGGACAACGACGAAGTAGATTGGGTAGTCTATCAAGGGGCACTGCACGATTGAGGCGCAGGGTCCGCAGGTTGGGACACCTCCCAAGCAGACGCTCCAGTGCAGATAAACTGACCTCATTGCCTAAGCAAGAGATGTTCAGTGACACTAGTGACGTGTAGGAATCAGGAAAATGGCTTAGCCAGTGCCCACTAAGGTCATCCACTTCACTCTCTTGCAAGTCCAACTCCTTCAAATTCCTACAACGCATAAGCAGACAGAGGGTTTATCAATGACAGTATCGAGACACTTCAGTTCAGAAATTAGCATTCTCTGGGGTTCTGACAAAAGAATGTAGTACATTGAACCATACGGTCCACACCAAATATTTAACACATTGTTGTTGTCAATGCCCCAATATTGACATATCATCCTATTCATCACAGATGCGCCATGCATAAAGTAAAAGCTTGGAAAAAGAGAGAAATAATTTTTTCTCACATGGTTTACACAAACCCCTCTCATCCGGTATCAAGTAAAAAATGTTCCTCTAACCATGCAAGATTGTCGATGATAAATTATTTAATAAGCATTGATAGTAAGAAGCTTTCTTTATCTCGCCAACCAATCATAAAATTTCACGTCATCCGTGAATCAAAAATTAAATTCTTGAATTCGTAGCAGGAAAAAAAAAATAGGGGATACAAGTGAAATCGACATGCAGGAAAAAGGAATGCTCCAAAGTATAATAATGTAAACAACCCAACAGTGCGTACTCCCGTGGCTCGCGAGTGAAATTAACAGCAGGGGCTGGCTTACTATTACCATTATTATTATTATTTATTAATAATTAACAACAACAATAATAATAATACAGTAGTAATAATAATAATAATAATAATAATAATATAGTAATAATAATAATAATAATAACAACAAAAACCAAGCATCTAATCTAATAGGATACTACAACAGTCATTTAAACCAAGACGTAACTAAAGGTAAACCCCAAAATCACATCACGGGTCAAATTATTAGACATCCAAATCAATGATACTCACGGTGTCAAAATTTCAAACATTTTTTACAAATAGCCCCAGACCATAAGCGATATAAGGCTTGAAAGGGAAGGAGAACAGATCTAACATACACCTGAGAAAACGAATAAAAATAACGACACGTCCCTCGAATTCACAACGATGTTCGTTCCAAAAACATATCAACTAAAAACTAGAAAACCCATTGAACAAAATTTCAATTAGAATTTCAGCTGTTAAAGCCCCAAGTCCAAGATGAAATTAAATTTCAACATATATAACGTTTCATTTTAAATGAGTCAAATCTGAGCTTTAAAATAACGAGAGCCCTTGTTCACATTAACCATAAGGCAAAACATCCCTCAATAGCGAAGATCCGAACCAGAAGTTCTTCCGGCGACAAGAGAACACGTTAGTTACAGAGACAACTACCTACTGGCTGCTTTCACTAACAATAATAATCCACAAAGTCGAGCAATGTACCGTTTCGCTCAGCTATAAGCAAATGAGAAAAGGAAATAAAGAAACCTGCAGTTGGCAGCAATGGCGGCCAGTCCGTCAGTGGTGAAACCCTCACATGAAGTGAGAACAAGCACCTTGAAGTTTTTGAAGGACTTGGCGATGAGTTCCAAGCTCTCGTCGGTGATGACCATCCTCTTGAGTCTGATCTCTTCGAGGCAGGGGAAGGCGCAGGCCATGGCGGCGATCCAGGGACAGACATAACCGCCCCAACCCTCGGGGACCAAGTTGAAGTCCGCGAAGTGCGGCTTCCCCTTGAGCGCAATGGATCTCAACTCCGGGAACCGCTTGATCACCATCACAGGGCTCACCGCATAGCAGTTACCGACGAAAACATTCCTCCTGCACCACCGCTCGATCTCGTACCACGACTTGCACACCAGAGAGATCGCGTTCCGGTCCCTCTCGCTCTCAATGAAGGAGAACACGTGCTCCAGCACCTCCTCCGGAAACGAGAACGTGTAGGCCATTTTCTGCATAGGGAAACACTAACAACAGCCACCCAGACGGTGTCGTTTCCACGATGAGAAAGTAGCAGAAACGGCGAAGCGCTCGTACTGCTAGATCTGAGACGCCATTAACAAGAAGCGAGAGTAGTATGTGTAACGTGATGTGAGTGAGAGAAAGACGGAGAGAGAGAGAGAGAGAAAGAGAGAGGATAAGGAGTTTATGTTTATGCTGTGTGTGTATGTGTGTGCCGGGTAAGGTTAGAAATTAACCATGGTTAAATAGGTGGTGGTGAACTGGTGACAGGTGATGGATGGTTTTTCGTTTTCTTTTTGTGTGAGCAACTGCGAAGGTGACACGTGGGTAAATGAAAGCCGTTGGATGGGGATGCGAAGAGGTGATCATAATATCTTATCCGTTGAGAAGGATGGAAGAGGAGCCGCAGAAAACGGGTGTACGTGAAAGGCGTGGACCAAATGGGGACGATATTTTGTTAGTGTCGTTATTTTCTCGCGACTCGTAGGGATGGGAAGACCGACAGGGTTTTATCGCGGAGGGAGGGGTTTGATAAAGTGTTATGATGTGTAGGGAAGTGGGTGTGGAAGGGAATCTCATGATTCGAATTGCACGGCTGGATCTGAAGGGATGGGGGAGGATACGGTGGGGACCACCGGTGATGGAAGCATGATATTATATCTAGAGTTGAGTCTGAAAGAAAAATAAAAGAAGAAAGGTTGCGATTGTATAATTTATTGAAGGAATGAATGATATGAAGTGGAGTCTGGAAATCATGACATCACGGCCGTCCAATCATATATGACTGTTTCATTCTATGATTCTAACAGTCAGATATTTGTTTCCGGTTTCTCACACATTTCGTATCAAACTTATTTTTCTCACACAATCTCTCCCCTCAAAAGAAACCTAGGTCCACTTTATTAATGCCACCATACACACTAATCTAATCATCTATGCCATTGTTTACCATAAGCTGGTGGTACCAGTACGAATCACCCTGCATTAATGACCTTATCGTGCAAATCTCAAAATACACACAACCATCAATTAACCTATTCTCGTTAACCTTACCAAATGAAATCATCTTAATTCTAACTTTATCGCTTTTCTTTCACTAATCATTATATTATCATGATAATTGCTATAATTTTCTTTCTTTTATCAATAATCAATTTTATTTGTTCGAGAAAGCTCGGTTAAGCATCTACGACACACAATACAGGTGAGATTTAATTTCAGAATCACAGAATTGCTATCATCAATAAAATTTAATAAATAATAATTACAGTATTGAGTGAAAAAAGAAAATTAAAAGTAGTTTTGGTTGGTAGATGAGTAGGTTGGTGAATTGAAAACGAAAAGGTGCAAAAGAATCTAAGTAGAGGAAAGCAAAGGCATGGATAGCATATAAATGTGTTGAGTTACGGCATTGGTTAGCTTAGCAATCTTCCTTTCCCCCATTTTGGTAGATGCCGATCACAGATGTTTGGTTAGTTAAATCATATTATTATCTTGAGTTCAAGGTGACAAGAAATTCTCTAAAGAGTGTCGGCAATCTCCAATTATAAAACAAGTAGATGAACAAGTTTATCAAGGCAAGAGTTGATTGGCTTTTCATCCTTGGTATATATTCAGTCAAATTTTGTTCTAGACAGCAAGAAAGAACTCCATCGTGTCAAGCTACCACCAAATTAACGATTCAATGCACCAACCGCTTCCTTTCTCCTTTTTCACAAATTACGTATCAAATTCGCGTTCTCTCACACTCTGCTTTCCCCGAAAAATTACATTTTTAAAACTATTACACATAAATACATATTTTTAATCAAAACCATACACTAACCACTCCACTGGTTAACTAAAAACGGTGCGTTGAAGTAAAAAAAAAAAAAAAAAAAAAAGAGGAAGAGGAGCAGAGAGGAATCCATTGGCTCTGGTGAGGAATCGATTAAAGTACAAACAAGCTGCACGTTGCATCTCTATCAAAGTTCTCTTCTTCTCCCTCATCAGAAGCTTTTTCAACAGTGTACGGTCTGCGGGTGTATTGTATATTGTAGTTTAGTTAAACGTATGCCAACAAAACCTAAACCCTCGCTGCCCCCATTTTCCTTTCTTTCTTCTGATAATCACAGACACAACAATCGCTAATCGGTTTTCTTCACTGCCAGTCATAAGCTGGTAAATCTATAGCACGTATGAGAGAGGAGCACTACCCATATTATTGGCGAGGGTTTGGAAAATGACTTAAGTACCCTTCGTTGTTGTGGTTTTTGTAGCGTGGGAAAAGGGTATTGTGGTCAGGAGATGACAACGACATGATAGTATGGGGTTTCGCTCGCTGGGCATGGACTCCATTGAGCTGTCCCTTTTGTGTCGAAAAGCTGAGACTAGACAGTAAAACGAGAGAGAGAGACTCAGACGGGTGGAATCAACGGTCAAGATATCATCTTTAATCGACCTCTCTTTGTCTCTATTCGCGCTCTTTTCAAAATACAAAAATAATTTTTATTTTTATTTCAAGAAACACCTAAAAGTTTTGCTTAAAATAATCAGAAACTGGTTTCTGCTAATGCTGCCTAAAGAAGGAGTTCATTAATCCGTTTGAACTATGAACTCCAATAATTTGCAGTATTAAAATGGTAAAGCAAGACCTGAGTTGTCTTGCACGTATAGTCTCATTATTTAATTCCTAATAAATCAAGCTCATAACTTTAAAAACGCATTAATGAATTCAGATAATTAACGAGTTTAATAATAAGTCCACGCTCGGTTCTCCAGGATTCTCTCTCTTCATGGAGTGGAATTAAATCGCCCTCATCGCTTGGTGCTACTGTTTAAGTACCCTCCAATTATATTGATTTCAGATAAAGGAGAAAATAAATTAGAAAAAAATAATAATAATTGAAAATAAGAACAGAGAGAAATGTTGAGATTAGATGATTTGTGTTAGTGGGTACACGTGAAGTGGCTCATCCAATAATGAAGGTTGGATCCATCCATGGGAATAGAGCGGAAAGCATGGCGGAACACATGCCGGTGAATTCATACATGGCAAAGTCACATTCAACAACGAACTGGCGCGGCAGATAATACAATAACACAACGTAATTATTAGTAATTGTAATATTGTCCGTATTTTGTTAAGATTTTATTATTTAAAATCATTTTAAAAAATAAAAAAATTAAAGTATGTAAATTATCTTTTAAATTGACTCCACTCAAATTATTAGAATATCTATGAATTATTTAGTTATAATATATAGTTTACAAAAACCTAGATTTATAATATGCCACACAGTTTTGAAATTTTGAAACTCCTTTAACGGGTGCTGGTGAAGTTAATGTGACAGAAAAATGGATTGTCTCAAGTGTTCTGGGTATGCACCAATTGTCCAATGATCTTCATCAATAAACCATGGCCATTGTTAATGAACTGACAAAGACTAAATTACTTCGAACATATGAATATAACAATATTTTATGAAGTTCTTCTATTGTAAACTATTTTAATCTTAAAATATTTAACAATTTTTAAAAAAAAATATTGTTAAATTTATAACGACACAAATAAATAAATAAATAGTCTCATCCACCCGTGAAACATTACTTTGATTTGATTTAGACTGTACATTAAAATTAAATGAAGCTTATTTTTATAATAATAAATTCAGATTACTTTTTAAGAAAAGATTCAAACCTGAAACACTTCACTAAAATAGTTAAAAGTAATCATGATATAAGTTTGACTACAACATAAAATGCCTAGTAAAAATTCTTTTCATTTTAGTTTTTCAGTGTTTGAATTAAAAAAACACAAAAAAGAAAAATTCACTACATTTCATGCATTACAAATATAGTTAAATTGTTTTTATTTAAATTTGATCTTAAATTAAATTAAAATTTTAATTTAAATAATTATGTAATGAAAAATTGAACCGCTACACTCCTATACTAGTAGCTCCACTGTTTAAAAAACACACGCACAATTAATGTATCTTTAATATGGCTCTGAAAAAGTCTGCCACTAGATCTGGCACGAAAAATTCTGCTGTTGAAAAGAAAGCAAGAAAAATTCTTGGTATGGTAAGCGATTTCGTGGTGGTTAGTTATCCATAACTTTTATTCGAAAAAGAAAATCAAACACAAATTCTATTCTATATTTTCAGCTGTAGTTTTAGGAAGGTTGAACAGAGTTCTAATCTTTTTGCGTCACAAAAACACCATCATTAGGGAATATTAATACGTGTCTTAATTTATAATTTTTCTCTTATAAATATTTTAGAAAATTTATTTAAACACATTTTTGTATTGTTTTGGTAATAAAAAGAAAAAAGGGTGGGGATTGAATATGAAGACAATACGAAGAAAAAGACATTTTTAAATAGTTGCGTTAAATATTGAAGAAGTATTGGACTACCATAATTTGGTGCTCAAATGAAAGTGAAGGCAATCATGGAGATTAGGTGCACGTGATTGAAAGCTATGTTATTTAATTATGTATATGTCAATTAGCTTTTTCATTAGTGGAAGGGTCTCTATCTGATCATTAGTTAGTGTCTTTTCTCTTTATCTCCATTTCAATCTAATACATCCTTACCCATTTTAACATGTACATTAAATTTATTTATTTTTCTTCACTTAAGTTTTGTTTGTAAATTAAAATGCCTTGATACAGAATTAAAGTCGCAATTTAACAAAAAAGAAAAAATTACCCTGTCTGTAATTTTAGTTGGTAAGTATAAGCTTATTCTTTGAAGATAGATTTTTTTAAGGAAGGAGATCCAATACAATTGTGGCATTAACCCGATTAGAGACTGTACAGAAAAATACAATATAAAATATAATATACATGCTATCTAATATATAAAATATTAATATCTTTTCAAACTCAATTTTTATGCATGCATACATACCTAACCTAAAACAAGCTCACTCCATCCCCAACTTTAGTAAAAAGGAATAAAATAAGCTCGCGAATAATTGGTATGTGCAGTGAATCGAAACCAACGGTGATAACCATAGTGGAAGAATGTGCATGTACATACACAACTTCAATCACACGTTCAAATTGTGCTATCTTTTGGTGCAACCAATTCATCTAAGTGGCTCAGGATCAATTACGTGATTTCCTCTTAAACCATAGATACTCTGACAAAAATCGAACTTGTTTTGCATCAAATCAGGTTTAGCTCACTTGCTGGAAAATCAAAGCTATGATTTCGGAATTTGG